TCTATCGAAGTCAGAACAGCACTTGGGAACGTCCGTTGGAACACGTGTATCACACGTGAACATGGTACCCCTAATACAGCCTCGATCGAATTCAAAAGCTTTGAGTATATGTAGCATCCATTTCCACATTAAAGTCCTAAAGACGTGCCGCAGCTGCTGCTGGAAGGTATAGCCCAGTTAGGTAAGTGAACGACACGGTTAAAATACCATGTCTTCGCGACTCCGGTCAGACAAAAAGGCACGTAACGCAGTTTGGCGGCCTCTTCCCACCTATGAGCGAGCAATGGAAAGAAAAATGGTAGGTGTAACCTTAAGAGACAAGAAGAGAGCAGAGTGGATTAGGGAACAAACGGGAAGTTCCCCGTATACTTTAGAGCACGTACACCTGGGGCTCTTCAGCCTACACTGACAATGCAGCGCAAGTGAGCTATAGTATTTTGCCTGTATCGAAGTATCAACGCCACGGTCGTTGTTGACCCCGCGTCTTTCGGGTCAGAACAGCACCTGAGAACGTCCGTTGGAACATGTGTATCACGCGTGAACATGGTACCCCTAATACAGCCTCGATCGAATTCAAAAGCTTCGAGTGTATGTAGCATCCATTTCCACATTGACGCGTGGAACTTACAAGTGAGTTAAACCGAGGCAGACGATGCTAAACATCCTCACGATATTCCGAAATGTTCTCGTTCCGTCGGGGACGTATACTAAGAGCGTTCTCAGCACAGCCTGCAATTCTGATTCGTGTGACTATATGCGTCTGATATGGCTAAAGAACGTCCTGAAAGAGCTATCCATAGGAGAACTATACCCGGAGGAGCTATAGGCATCCATTTTGAAAATGCAGTTTTAGAACTACATATATAGTGCACAGAAAGAAAATATAGAGCAATGGAAAGAAAAAAATGGTCGGCGTAATCTTAAGAGACAAGAAGAGAGCAGAGTGGACTAGGGAACAAACGGCGGTTAAGGATATCATAGTTGAAATGAATTTGAGGAAATGACATGGGCCGGGCATGTAGCGCGTAGACAGGCTAACCGCTGGTCATTAAGGGTTACTAACTGGATTCTCAGAGAAGGCAAGCGGGTTAGGGGGAGACAGAAGGTTAGGTGGGGCAGATGAGATTAAGAAGTTTGCGGGCATAAATTGGCAGCAGCAAGCACAGGACCGGGTTGGCTGGCGGAACATGGGAGAGGCCTTCGTCCTGCAGTGGACGTAGTCAGGCTGCTGCTGCTGATGATAATGATATAGTGCAAGAGAAGCTATAGGATCGAGGTTAGCCAAAAAAAAAAAAAAAGCTTTTTTGGGGTGGTTGGAAGAAACAGTACGACCATTCTTTATGTATGTTCATGAGCATTTATGCATTGGTTGCATTTACACATACATGGTTGGGGGGGGGAAGGTTTGATCCCCCTTCAGGGAAGGCTCGACTCCCGTTGAATACGCCACTGCTGTAGTGAAAAAAGCTTGTGCGTGCAGATACACATGCAGAAATATTAGACATGTCGAGTGAAACACGCTATTCGATGCCTCAGTCGAAATGTTTCGACGCCCGCCCGCCCGCCCGCTTATTAATCGAGCGTACAACGAAGCTAGTTCACTGAACTTCTCCGACTCTGGCAGCGGTGCTGTTGTCAGACAAAGAACTGTTACGCACGCGGTCGGGCTTTTTACACCGACAGCTAGAGCAAAAGTTGCTGACCAGCAGCGCACGGCCGGACCACTCGCAACGCACAGAACTGCAGCGACAGCGTTGATTCAGTTGTTTCCTTCGCGTCTACTGCGCCGGACACAAAAGAGAGGTTCGCGCGCGATAAGGATGAAGACCGCGACGATAATCGATAGCGGGCCGGTGGCCTACAGCTGCGTCCGCTTACGTCACAAGCCACGCATTCGACGATAAAGATATGTGTAGCACGTGTGCTGAACTCATTTAGAATTCATGCAATCGATTCTGTGTTTGTTTACACGAGGATGACTGATGCTTATTGTAAGGGGTATTTATAATAATTGTTGTTGGTGTTTAACGTCCCAAAACCACGTTATGTTTACGGGAGACATCGTTGCTTATTTTAAGGGGTATTAATAATAATTGTTGTTGGGGCTTGACGTCACAAAACCACCACGATTATGAGAGACGCCGTAATGGAGGGCTCCGCAAATTTCGACCACCTGGGTTTCTTTAACGTGCACCTAAATCTAAGCACGCGTACCTCAAGCATTTTCCCCGCCATTGAAAATGCAGCCGCCCTCGGCCGGGATTCGATCCCGCGACCTGCAGGTCAGCTGCCGACTGCCTTAGCCACTAGACCACCGTGGCGGGTTTGTAAGGGGTATTGTCCAAGCGACCTGGAAACATAGATTACACCAGTCTTATGGGTATATGTTGGGCAGTGCGTTCCACAGCACTGTGGAATATACGAAAGCTTAAAAGGTGTACGCACCACGCATACCTGTCGTGTGAAGGTGAGATCGCTCGATGCCTCATCAAAAGCGGTAATCCACCGTCGGCACCTTTGGTGTCAACTTGATCGAGTGACGCAAAAAAAAAATCATAAATTAAGGTCGTCATCATGATTTCACCTATATCCAAGATTTGTGGCGTCGCAATGACCTATTCATGGCGTCGCACATCCGTGTCAAAAACTGGCGTACCAGAGGATGTCCATGGGACTTTCAATGTAGGAAAATAGAGTCGGCTTGCGCAAGACACGGGGAATAGGAAATTATCGGGGATGTCTTTTTCCTACATCGTACATGTTTAACCACCATCACACTCAGCCCATGGTTAGGACCTGCAGTGGACCTAACCATGGGCTGAGTGTGATGGTGGTTAAATATGTACGATCATTTAATAGTTCGTGAACATGTGTACTTTATTGCCCCATATCCCCATTATCGTTCAGGAAAATGTACCACGTAGCTTTGCTTTCGATCTCAAGCTCTCACGCTGAAGTAAAAAAAAGTAAAAACAAATAATTTATATATTGATATATTGCTTGCAAGACTGGAAGTCGATTGACTTTCTTACTTAATCCGTAATTCTGAAGGATCACTTAAGTGGCAGTCTGGATACGCTCATAAATCCTCATTCGAAGTAGCACCTGACAGAAAATTAACTTTGTTATACCCGAAAATTTGTTATGGACGTAATCGGGAGCACGTGTGCCGTATCTACGACAGGAATTTGATACACATCATTATAAACGATAAATCGTTATATCCATAAAGAGATCAGTAGGGCACATTAAAGAACGGAAAGGCGCACAAGAATTTCGCCCCTTTTCCCTCACCCCAGCAAGAACGCCGGAAGACCATCTAAGGTGGGGGATATTAACCTCCGAAGCTTGCTCTTTCGGTTGAGTTCTGAAGGTTCATTCTTGCGTATGCTCAAGAGCTCCAATAAAAGCAACGCTCGATTCGAGGGAGTTCGCAGTTTGTGACCTGCCGGCAGACTAGATCCCCTCCCCCGCTTTTTTCCCCAGGTAAGAAGCGTCCATGGAGCTGTAATGTTGTTCTTCAACACTGCGATCATGGTATACATAGCAAGTGACGATCTGAATCAGAAGACAACCATTGTGAACGTACTTACTATATATAGTAAGAACAAATGAGCCGATCATTCAAACACATCCCACGGTAAAATGCATGGGACCCCACATTTTGAGAGAAAAAAAAGATTATTGGGTGAGCATTCCTACTGGAAAAAAATCATCTGGCCTACTCGCATTTCCTTTCTTGAAAACTCCGTTCTCAATTTCTATCAAGAATACTACGTGACGCTGATCTCAAAGTGCGCGCGCTGCAGAGCCGAAATACTCCTCAAATGCTCGTTTTTGCGAATGCACCACCACACGAGTTTGACGCTGTTATCTCTGAGGCTATGCAAACTTCGATTCGTTCTCGTTCCCTCTTTGGAGTCCAGGTGGCACCACGTCAGCGCCTCCGGCCAAAACCGCTAGGCGAACTGCGCGCGCGGTTGCCGCAAGCTGCCGTCGGCGCTGCGACAGGGCGCAGCACGGGCGCGCTGGGGGATCAGCTGCTGAAGCGAAGAGCGTCGCTACGAATCGTTTATCAACGCGAGGTGCAGCAGTCGAGAAAAAGCCCGCGCTCCAGTGCCGCGGTGGCTGCTGCTACTTCTCTGCGGTCGCCGAGAGAAGAACGACCCAACGAAAACGAGCCCTTCCCATCGGTGCGTGCGATTTTCACGCGCTCTCTGCGAAGCGGTGGGCTAGCAGCAGCGGGCTTGCGATAATTCCGCTTGACGTGGGACAAGTTCGGCGCCGCTTCTCAAGGCGTGTTGTGAGTGTGTCACGGTGGTTGTGCAGTGGCGGTAGCCGAAGCAACAGCGCTCCTTTCTTCAACGGTACTCACCGCCGCCGCCGCTACCGGCGGGCGCGTGTGTGCCACTGTGGTGTGATCGTGCGGCCACTTATCGCGTGCGCGTGTGTGTGTAGTTGGTAAAACTTATTCGACAAAGGCTGTGGCGGCGGTGGTGGCCCGGGCCACGCAACGTCGTCACCGTTTTTCTCTTACGACCCGTAAACGACGTCCCGAACCCAGGAAAAAGTCGGGACGAAATAAAACATCGCCTCCGGAGAACTACGCCACGGACGTAGTGCGAACGGGGCGATCTTCCGAGTGGGCTACGTCCGATCCACACAACCGTGTAGCGTGGTGCGCCGTTTCACCGTCGTTCGTTGTTGTTTTTTTACGGGCGGTGTTGACAAAACACACGAGGACACGGAAGGAAGTGTTCGCTGCGAGGCGAGCCGATTGCCTATCCGCGACACCATCAACGTTGCTACAGCTGGCGACGGCTTGCTTTCAGCTGAAAGAACGATCAAAGTGGTGCTTGCCGTGCTATTTGTTTTTTTTTTTCTTTTCTCGCTAGCGTGATGCATCACAGCTCACCGGAGTATTCTACTGCTTGGTGGTGTTGAAAAAAAAAGATTGAAAAAAAAAAAAATCGGGAGAGGCAGTTTGGGAAGGTTGTGTGTGGTGTCGAAGTCGGCATGAGCGTGTTCTTCACGAGCATGGAAGACGTTTCGATGGAACCCCGACAGGTCTCCGCCGCGGCGTACGAGAAGTCGGCCTCGGCGCCGACTACACCGACTGAAGCCACTCGACTTCAAGCTCACGGGGCCGCCCTCTCGTCCGCGCTCAAACGTCGCAGCAAGGGACACCGGGTGAACTTCCCGACGGACGACTGCATCGTCACCGGCTACGTCGAACCTCCGAACCCATGGAGTAACGGTGAGTCGGTCTCATCACCGTCGCCGAACCCTCTTACCTTTTGATGAGTCGGTCGTCACGTTTACACACAGTTGAACTGGAATCGGACAACGTAAGCATACGATATATGTACGTACAATCTGCGCCCTCCATAGCAGCGGCGGGTCTGTCATGCCTCCGTGCATCCAAGGCGTGCGGGACGGTTTCAATTTGAGTTGGAACTTTTTTACGCAGCTAACATAAACTCCATGTGTACTTCGGATTGAAACGTCGTTGTCCCTACCGAACATATAACGTTTGGTTAAGCTAGGATTTTGTAATCTTTTCTGAAGTTGCTGGAATATTCGGCTGAACACCAGTCACATTATTACGCGTCTCTATGATGAAGCGACACCCGCAACTTGTGTCATTCGGTTCTCATTTCTCCTTGGCGGCATGTAAATGAGTATCGTCCTTTGTGTATCAGAGGCACACAGGACTGCCTAGTGCTCTCCCATAGTAGAGTACCAAGTACTCGAAATCGTTCACCAGTTTTCTCTAAACACGAGCTAAGCAAGAACGTTGTACCTTGCAAGGCCCACGGACGGTTTTCTGCTCTCTCATAGTAGAGTACATCGCACTCTAAATCGTTAACAACTTTGTCTACACGCACACATACCTCGTAGTTTTTCCGACTTTACGTTTCAAGTGTCTTGCAGGCACACATTTACGTGACAAGGTGAACTTTTCAAGTGTGAAGTCGACGGGAAGGCTTTAAGCTCTCCCACAGTAAAGTACCTAGTACTCTAAATCGTTACCCATTTTTTTCTAAAGACGCACAGGGCCTCACGAAATGTGAGGCTCACAGGATGGATTTTGCTCTCCCATAGTAGAGTACCAAGTACTCTAAATCATTAACAACTTTTTCGGAACACGGCTATTTTTTGTCAATGCGGCCTCGTCCAGTGTGAGGTTCAGGGTACGGATTTCAGCTCTCCCATAATATAGTACCGAGTACTGTAAATTGTTAACAACTTTTTTTTCTAAACAGAGATTCTGTTCTCGCTGTCCGCTTTTGATCCTGGGACGGGTTTCTGCTCTCTCATGGAAGAGAGCGGTCACAGGTCATATCATAAGCCCCGCGGGATGCTTTATGCTCACCCATAGTAGAGTACTCGAAATCGTCGAACATTTATTCTCATTCTCAGCACAATATCAAAGAATTAAACAGCTTTCTCACTGCTCGAGCCCCACAGCTCGTAGGGCCAGCGAGAGCTTGATTACAGCTCTCCGCACAGCAGGGTATACATGACACGCTAAATTGACAAACATTTTTTTCTAAGCAGATCGGTGGACTTGTTTGGGACAGATTTAATTCTCCCACAGTAGAGTACGCATCTGTGCCAAAGCCTTGCCGAACACTTCTTACCAAGTTTTTATATCCTCCTTGCTTCTTACGAACAGGGTTGTGCGAACATGCCAATTTCAAACTTGAGTGGAATGATACCTAGTCAAATATTCGATTCAACTTTCGAAGAGCTAGTTTCGAAGAGCTAGTTTCGAAGAGCTATTTCGAAGAGCTAGGCTTTCGAGAGGACGAATATTTCAAACGAGACAAAGGCCGATGGCGTAACTTGCTGAAGCCACGCTAACTTCGTTATGGTATATAGGCGTGTGGCAGCTTGGGCTAGTTGGTATGGCATGACGATAGTTATAGCGCGAGAACAAAACGACGACACAGAGACAAGAAGGAGACGAAGGACGAAGTGTATAGGCCTTTCGTTAAAACTTTCACTGATATTGTTCACAAGCTAGCACGTGTTTATATTGAAGATGATGATGTTATTTCCGCGCGCATATAAAAAAAAAACAAAAAGAGAAACACGAGGAAGTTGTCAAGCCTTTTGCAACTTTTGCTACTCCAAAACCAAGGCACGCGGCATTCATGCGTAGTTCGTTGGCGTATGCCGAAAGTGCAGCGTCCAGACCTTGGCCCGCAAAACCCTCGGTGATGTGCTTCACACGTGAAGAATTTGCTGAGGCTTTGCAGTCGCCACTGCCGTGCTGCGCAATTCGTTCAGATACTGCCATCGTCATGGTGCGAAATGAAAACGCAGCTGTCAACGGCTGCACCGTAGATTATTGGCCTTGGCGCTCTCATGACGATGAAAAAACTACCGTTGTCAGATAAGCCGTGTTTTGCCACCATAACAAAAAAAAAAAAAAGCTACCGTACCCTCTTCTATGAGCCGTTACGAGGCTATGGGAGTGCCGATGCTGGATGGAATGGTGACTTCAATCAACGTATGTATGAGCACTCATTTCAGGGGAAGGGGCGGCCAGTTGTAATGACACTCGAAGAGGGGAGGGCCGGCTCCTGACTGTTTTGATCATAGTAGCTCGAAAACTCCGTCATAGCATAAATACTTCTAATGTATGCTCACAGTGGTCCCACTAATTTGTTATAATTGGTGAGAAGACGTGGCCTTCAAGCACTGAAGAAAGGGGCGGGGCGCTGCCACATGATTAATTCTAGGAGGGGGGGAAAGCGATCGCCCCTACCGCCCCGCCCCCTCTTCTAAATCCGCCACTGACGAGAGCCCGTAAAAGTAAAAAAAAAAAAAACCTATCCCGAACAAGTGCGTCGTCAAGTTGTCACCACCTCGCAGCGTCCGTAAGCTTGTGGACATCGACAGATGTGATTTCTTCTTCAAGTTTTCAACAAAACATTTTCTATTCGGTTAGATATTCGTCATTTTTTGGCAAGTATTCGATTCGAAATGAAATTCACTATACGCAGAACCATGGTCTCGAACACTCGTACCGTCATATGATAGCATCAACTGTTTGTAGAGCCTTGCGTTGAAATGAACTTTTTTCGAAACTCACAGCTTTGGCTATTCCAACGGGCACAGATGGTGCCAATGGCCAGCGGAGCCCTGGCATAGGGGCCAGGCGATTTGCGATGTTCCTCGGTATAGACGGTTTCAAGGTTGCAAGCGTTGTGCCCTAAAAAAAAAAAAAAACTTTCGGTCACTTCATTTATCAGCTCCTTAGGTCGAAACTGAAAGCACGTTTTCAAGTCATTTATCAAGGGTAATCAAAGTCTATCTGTCGTTATTTCAACTAAAAGGAACATGCGTAAATTACAAGGGAATGTTTTCCAACTTTTATGTAGCTCAAAAGAACATTTATTTGAATATATTTTGTCAAATAGTGGAAGGAAACTGTGGAAAACCAGTGGGCTATTTTCAAAAGCTCTTGTTGTCCACCGATGCTATTGAGGCACATCAACCTATACGCAAGTAAGGCTTCTCTCTCTGGCTCTCTCACTTTTTCTTAGCAGAAACGCCAACGCCTAATTTTATATATTGGGCGACCTTCGTTCCTCATGATCACGTCGTAGATTTGCATTTCCTCAGGTCTTCACACTGTTGGAGCTGCCCTTATCTTTTCGAACCTCCTTGATCACATGAACGCGATGCCTCCTCGCTCGCGACAGACCCGCTTGGCACATCTTTGCGAAACTTCGTCGACGAACCTATCTTGCGTGCCGAGATAAGAAGAGATTAGTCTCACCGTATAAAGGTTGCACGATGTACCGATAAGTAGTCTCAACCCATGCACGGCGTAACCCTCTTCCGTCAACGGTACTGTCTCCTTGGCTTAGGTGTCCCACATCAGGGGCTCCGGATGTATATCTGACGTGTGGGGGCAAGGTTTGTGGGCAGGGATATATATATATATATATATATATATATATATATATATATATATATATATATATATATATATATATATATATATATATATATATATATATATATATATATATATATATATATGAGATCTAACAGACAATAATGCCAAGGAATGTATAGGGGAAGTTATTAGAACCAGTGTAATGTAACTAAGAAGAAAGAAAAGTGGGTGAAAAAATATAACGTGTTCGATGCTAGTTATTCGGAGGTCGTAGGTTCGATTCCTGCTCATGGCAAGTTAATTTTTCACCCACTTTTCATTCTTCTTATTTGCTTTACATGAAATGGCATTATTACGCATCTGTTTTTGCAAAGGCGGGAAAAGGAGGAGGTCGTAATAGCTGTTAGTGGGAGAGGGAGGCATGCCCCCCTGGTTTTAACCTGTTAGGGCGACGGCCCCCACTGCCCCCCCCCCCCCCGGTTCCAGAGCCTCTGTCCCACATCAAGAACAACGGCTGAAGCCGGGGCCATAACTCTGGCTACACGCGCTGCGGAGGGGTGAATCGGCATTTATATTCTGACGGACTCGCAGGACGGGGCCTGCCGTCCTTTTCGTGGCGGGGTCTTGCCGGACAGCGTATCACGCTTACTGGGGAGACTGGTCTGACGACGGACCGCGGTGTGACCTAGTGCCCGGCACACTTTGGAGTTAAAAGGGAACGAACGGGTGGACCGTTTGACTCGTGGCGGGACAAGTCGATTCGCGGACCGCGTCGACCGGAAGGACATTTCGACTCCTGGTGCGCCAAGAGAAATCCTCACAATTTCAAAGGCTGTGATACGTTTCAAGCATCAAAAATGCAACGCTGTGGAAGCTATGCAAGTATGTAGTTCGGCCAGCAAAACGTAAAACTCGGTGCGGCTCGTCCTCGCTTGCGTGGCATTTGATTAGTGCCGGTGCACCCTCGCGTTTCTTTATGCTCCCGTTTGTGTCTCGTGAGATGGAAAGTTAATTCACCAGGTGGCCGCCACAGTGACGTACCCAACGTAGCTAGCCTGTGGGACGTCACGTCGAAACTAAGGTATTCAGCCGCATAATATAAACAGTCGTTTAACGGCATTTTTTGTTCGTAAGGCACAAAATATCTTCACTTACTTCTCTCCGTAATAACGAAAAGAAAAATTCCGTTATCGGTGGCAAGCACATCGAACTATTATTTGTTTCGAACGTATCGACTACAAGAAGTCTCGCTAGCCACCACAGCGTTGCAGATGATGTATGAAGCGGAGTATACATAGGCGAATTATAAGCCCCACCCCCCCTTCTCTCTTCAACCTAAA